TGAGCCAGATTTTGAGACAAATGTTCTCTGTTCTGCTTTTGTTTGTTCTCTTGCCTGGGTTTAGCAATTTAAAATGATTTTTTTTCAGGGTCCTTGCACTGAGATACATCCCCAGACCTAAACATTTTTTATTTTGAGATAGGGTTTGTTAGGTTTCTGCCCAGGGTAGGTTCAAACTTGTTACCACCTGTCTCAGCCTCCCAGAATGCTGAGTTGTAAGTATGTGCCACCAGACCCTGAAAATTAATTTTTTTTTAAAAGCAAAACTGACTCTTATGAGCCACAGAATTGCATGTGGGAGCTGCTTGCCAGGCACTAAGGAACACAATCCAAATTAAGCAGCAAATCAAGTGACAGCTGGTATTTTGATGAGAATTTAACAACAGGACTTTCTCTTTCCATAGGATAGTTGTTGTCACAGAACTGGAAAGGACTCTGAGACCTTGCTGCTTGATTTTGGACATCAGCATAAGCATCAGCCTCCCCAGGGTGCTTATTAGAAAGGTAGAATCAGTCTCCAACTGCAGGCCCAGCCAATCAAAGCCTGTACTTTAATGAGATCCCTAGGGATTCGTATGCTGCCTTATGCATAAGACATCCTGCTCTAAAGATCAGCCCACTCCTGGCTACATACGACACCTAGGGAACTAAAAACATACTGGCCAAAATACTCTTCACCTCAAGAAATTCTACTTTTGTTGGTCAAATCCAATTGTTTTCATTTACTCTTTGTACTGTACTTTCTAGGTTTCCCAAGGTCCAGAAAGATCATGGACCCATCTAAAGTAACACAGCTATTGAGGAACAAAGCTCAGCTCAGAACGCAAGGAATCCATTAAATTTTTCACTGCAGCTCAGCCAACAAGTCCTATCCTCCAACGAAGTCTACTAACATGCATGCTGAACTATAATTCAAAAATAGTGACCATAAGAGTTTTCTTCCAAATAGTTGAGGGTCAAGTCTGTGCCAGGGACCATTCCAGACCCTGGGGATACAGCAGTGAATGTGGAGCCCCTGGGATAGGGATACTATGAGAAGCCAGGCATTTCACAAAGCAGCAGCTGTGCAAGGTGTGGGGTGAAAATAAAGGACTACCAGGAAAGGAAGTCTCTCCAGTGGGGTCTCTGAGTAGAAAGGTGAGGGGGGACAGTGGGAAAGTGAAGTAGTTCTTACCTGGGGAAGACTGTTCTTGTCAAAAGGAACAGCAAAGGCAGAAGCCCCTGGGTGGGAGTATGCCGGGCTTCTGTGGCTGAGTCCAGCAGGTGCAGGGGAGATTGTAGGGCCTGGCACTCATGGCTCCTGATAACGACTAGGAGGTTATTGTGAATACAATGGGGACTTCTGTGGGTTTCTAAGCAGAGACATGATATTTTCTGGCTTGGTTATACGAGGATAACTGTGGCTGTAGTCCTATAAATGTGCCATCTGCAGAGGAGTCGGGGACATCCAGGATGCCCCACAAGCAACTACAGCAGGAATTCTGATGAAATGATGGTGGTTCCAAGCAGGAGGGCTTTGGAGAAGGTAGCAGGAAGCAGCTGGGTCCTGGCTGTATCTGGCAGGAATTGCTGTTGAAGTGGGTACAGGAAGGGAGTGAAAGTGGACTTTAAGGTTTGAGGCCTGAGCAGCTGGTAGGATGAAATTGCAGGACTTTAGAAACGAGATGCAGGCTGGGTAGGAACATGCAGACTTTGGTCTGGGTGTTTGATGAAATAGTAGTATTAGTCCTTCAGAATTCTATATCAGCTGGCTTTTACAAAGCACACTGGGCCCTCTGGCTAGTGCTGCTTGTGCTGCTGAGCGCTGTGACCACCTGCTGTAACCTGTCTGATGGGTGCATTCTTCTTAGACTCTGAGGAGTACACTGGGCCTGTCAGATCAGATTCACAATCCAATTTAGGCTTTAAAAATATTATCACAATGGCCTGGAGATTTCTGGGACATTATGCTAGGCTGGTGGTCTTTTGGGTGCTGAAGGTGGATTATTTCTAATTACCTTGAGTTTTCTTCTGATAAGAACGGGCGATTATCTACCACCTACACTGGGTAGTAGGAATACTGCAGGATTTTTTTTTCCTGTCTAAAATCATTTTGCTCATTTCTTGTTCAGAGAATCTCTCGTGTGTCTGCACAGCTCCCGTGGGCTCAGAGAGCTGTCAAAATTGAAGTGCTTCTGTGTCTGATGAGAGTCAGGAAGCCCCTCCCCTTGCATTCTTAGGGAAAAAAATCTCGCACTTGCTGGTGCCCTGAGCTCAGTATCTGTGGAACAAAGATCTGACATTCATCCGCTCGGTGCTTCTGAGCTCTGAGTGTACATTAGAATTGCCTGGAAGCTTAGGAAAAACCACTGTCGGTTTTCCCCCATGGTGCTCCCTGATATTTAAGTTTTCTGGTGGGGCCCTGGCACTGGTATTATTTTTTTTCCTGTGAAGAAGACTTTGTATTTTAGAACAATTTTAGGTTCATATCAAAACTGGGCAAAAGGTCCAGAGATTTTTCTAGATATCTCCTTCCCCACACAAGCACAGCCTCCCCAACAAGCTGCACCCAGCATCGGAGTGGTACCTTTATTACAGTCCATGAACCTAGACTGGCACAAGGTCACCTCCCAAAGCCCATAGCTGACATGAGGGCTCACTCACGGGGTTGTCAGAGTACCTCATGACATGCGCCCACCATTTTGTACTGTGCAGCATAGTTTCACTGCCCTAAAAATCGTCTGGGACTGGTATTTCTAAAAAGCATTCTTAAGTTAGTCTAATGTTTATCCAGGGTTGAAAACAAAGATTTCCTGCTTACTGTGTGCCAGACCCAGCTTTAAGCACTTTACAGAAATTAACTCCCTTCACCTTCCTGTCACTCCCACTGTTATTGTCCAGAGCCATTAAGTAGCTTATCCAATAGTGGATGGGCTGGCATGTGATCCTGGGCTTGCTGGCTGAGAAGTCTGTCTCTTCCTCACAACGCTGTACTGCCTTTGCTATCTGCTCAGAATTGTATGTGGAGATGTATGTGGTGGGGCATGCCTTGGAATCTTAGCACACTGGGAAGCTGAGGCAGGAAGATCACAAGTTCAAGCCCAGCCCAGGTAACTTAGAGACTTAATGAGAGCCTGTCTCAAAAAAAAAAAAAAAAAAGAATTGCATTTGAATGAAGAACAAAAGTCATCTGCCCTGCAGTTTCATCCTGCGTGGTACCTCTGAGCTTTATTTGTGTCTTGATCAGAAGTTCCTTCCAACCCATAATTGTCCTCAAGCCCCCTCTTCCTCCAGTCTGGCACTCCCACACCAGCTCATTGCTTTGCTGACCCTCACACATGACCTGCTCATTCCAGTTCCTATACATGTGCCTGGAATGCCCTCCCCTCCTTCCCACCCAGCCAAAGTTTAATCCAGCTGGGTTCAAGTTCCATGTGCTGGCTGTGTTCCCTGAAGATACAGGACATCCTGACCTCTCTCTTCCTAATCACCAGAAGCACTCGCTGCCTCAACTGTGCTTTTTGGAGTTTTAAGACACTGGAATTTACAAATCACATATTGCTCCCTACTTCATACCTGAAAGTCTTGTCTCTTAGCAATGTTGACAGCTCCACTAGGGAAGGAACAATACTAACTTCTGGTTTCCTTTCTGAAGTCCTGTGTAGTGAGCCAGACATAAACAGTTGGACATATGGGAGAATGGGGTGTTCTTGCTCCTCAGGACTGTTGACTGTATCAGACTGTATCAGATAGGGAGAGCAAGAGGGTTCCCTCCCCATCCCTGGTCCATGGTATAAGGCAGTGAGCACCTTACAGATCATTGTCCATTCCACTCTAAATGGCTATTTGATCTGCTTCCTGGTAAATTGGAAATTATGGTCCAAATCCTTCAGAATGGGATGGAAAACTTTCCCTTATGTGGGCTCTGCCTCCTTTCTTGGCATGTAGCTAGAGCTCCTGATTTACCCGGTTAGACTTAGTTTCCTCACAGGGCTCTGATCTCAGCCTGTTTTCTTGTGTATTAAAAGCAATCCTTTTCACTCTTTCAACTGTCCTGTAGAAAATGATGGAGTTGCCCTATCTGCCTGCCTCTCTCTCCCCAATATTCCAAGTAAAAAAAATGTTAATCTTTCCTTGTTAAATCCTGGAGATTTGCTACTTCCTCCCATCTTTAGGCTTCTCCTTCTGCCTGGAAAGATTAGCCCCTTCTCTACCCCCACATATGTACCATCTTTCTTGCCAACGTCATGCTAGGCCTACTTCAGCTGCTAAGTTCCTTAGGACATCTTCCCTATCTTGCCTTCAACCTCAAATCCCCATAATTGGCATGATTTTTAATGGCACTTAACACTACTGTCCTATATTATATCTATTTGTATGAGCATTCCATTTCCCTTATTGGAAAGAAGCTCCCAAGGAAAAGGTCTAGAAAGTAGGCATCTTTATCTTCTATACAGTGGCTGACAAGTGCCTTATATATGGTAGACATTTCCTATTCATTTGCATTTTTTTAAGCTAGATAATTTAAAACAAATAACCTTTTCCCTGGGGCCCATATTCAACATCTGTAAAATGCATCATCTCTGCATCCATTTCTGTCTAACCACTTTCAAGCATTGAGTTCAGGGTTACATAGGTGACAGAGCCAAGTGGGAAACAGTGAGTGTTTTAGTTACTTTTCTCATTGGTGAGAAGAAAATACCCAACACCCAAAGTTAAAGGAGGAAAAGTTTATTTCACCTGACAGTTTGTGGAGGTTTGAGTCCGTAATTGGCTAGGTCCAAGGCAGGGTAGCATGGTAGAGGGGCATTGCAGGGGAGAAATAGTTCATGGCAAGAAGGCAGGAGACACCAAAGCAGCAAGCAGCAGCAGCAGCAGTCTGCCTCTCACTTTTATCCCTTCCAGGCTATTTTGGGTGGTGCCACACTCACCCAGGGTGGGCCTTGCCATTATCCATACCCAGAATTATGCTAAACCAATCAGTCAACTAATTTAGTAATCATGTACCCTTAATCTCAGTGTCACATGCTTAATTCCATCATTACATCTTCAATCCCAGCATCACACACCCTAGATCTAGAAACTCTGAAAAGCCTTGTCTGTGACTGCATGAGGCTTTGGGGGTGGGGGGAGACATCTAGATACAAGCCATAACAGTGAAGTTCACCTGGAGATTAGCACTGGCGAGAAGTCCCCAACTCCTGTGCTGCAGAGACAAATGGAAGAGCAGGACTAGCAGTTCTGGGTCACAGGTTGCAAAGCAGAGGCTGGGATCCTAGTAGTTGTTCAGTGGGACCTGCAACTGCAAAAGTGGTGCAGCTTCTTTTGAAAGCCTCTTGAAGCTGGACTCTCCCTTCTTCCCATTCTGCAATTTTCTTTCTTTGGTCAAATGTGGGAGGAAACCAGTGGGCATGGGAACCAGGGAGTTACAGACTCAAGGCATGAGCACCGGTGATACAGAGCTAAAGAACAAAATACCCAAAAAGGGTGGTAGACAAATGGTGCCAGACGTAGTTCCCTTTTGGCACTTTGGATGTGCAGTTTAACCCATCTATTACTGAACAAATGACTGAATATATTAGTAAATGCATGAGGAATCTCATTTGTTTTGAAATGTATTTAGTGACTTGTAGAAAAATGATCAAAAAATTCTGTCTGTTTTTAGTATTATAATTCTTCCTGTGGGCTTGGGAAAAAACCCAAAGCCTTGGGCTGGGATGTTACTCAGCGGTCTTGTGCTTAGCATATGTGACTCTTTGGTTTTAAATCCCCAACACAAAACAACGCGGCAGAACCAGCAGTAGTAACAACATTCCCCTGAGCCTTTCTCATTCCTTCAGTTATTTGGAATTTAATTATGGTCATTGGCGGCAGCAGTTAAGCAGGTAATAAAATATAAACACTTAGTCTCAGAAAATACTATGACCTTAACCTGGTGTTATGACCAAGGAAAGGACACAGATCAGATATCATCATGTAATTACTTCTTGAGCAGCTCCCCCACCCCTGGTGGCAGACAGGCAAGGCTGTGACAGTTCACAGCCACACTGGGAAGCTTCAGCGGCCTCCCTATCCCCACGTTCCTGGCTGCATGAGTGAAGATCCCACAAAAATGTCTTTCCCAAATCTTGATTTCCTCCACTGGAAAGTGAGATACATCATAAAATGAAAGTCTGTGGTGGAGGACAGTGGCTGTATGATACCAACAATACAGAGGAAATTCCCAGTATTACCTCTAGCCAATAAGTTTTGGCTTCTCCTCTACACAGTACCTTGTCTTTAAGTTTGAATTTCAGCAATTTTAGTATTGCTGGTAGAGTGGTTTGGGAGCTGGGAAGTGGCCTCAGGCAGACAATAGGGCAGGAGAACGGCAGCAATGTTTGGGAAAATCCACTTTTTTTTCTTTATCCATACAGGAATGCTTGTCCTCATTTTGTTTTCTTTTGCTAGTATTGTCACCTAGCTTAAAGGCCAGTGGGATGTATCAAATACATGAAATATGAAATATGAAATACATGTGAAAATACTCTGAGGGCATTATTAATAATGATGATGACTGGAGTTGAAGTATAGGGTTTTAAAAGTATATCAGTTTTGGTGAGCACATTGTGCTGGTAACTAGAAAAAATTGATCACTACTCTGTCTTCCTTTTGTACTTGTTACATTCTATTTCCCATCCCCTTGTCATCATATTCCTATTTGGTATGGTTACTAGTCTTCTGGATTCTGGTCTGTCTTAGTTCTTTTACTTTTTTACCTCTTCTTCCCAATGTCTTGCAAAGCACAATGTCTTGCAAAGTTGGTTGGCTCTTGAGAAGCTTCCTGGATTAGCCTTTCCAGAATTGGTAGAACCAGTCTTGCTTCCCCAAATTGAATCACTTAGGCCTATGTAAATATTGAATCATAATCTCCAGGGGTGGAGCCCAGACATAGCTCTTTTTTCCCCCTTGCAAATCATGAAAACAAGAGATTAAATCATCTGCCTAAGAAGAAGCACAAATAGGCACATGAAACAAAAACAGTCAATCATCTGCCTAACAGGGCACATATATGATCATACCACACAAAATAGCCTACTCTCCATGTTAAAGCTCATTTCTAGGGTCAAACAGCCTGTGAGAAGTTGCTGTGTATGACAACTTCCCTTGGTGAGTAGCTTAAATCAATGGTTCTCCGAGTGTGTTCTATGAACCTCTGGTGAGTCCTAGAATCTTTTGGGGGATCTATAATGCCAAAACTATTACTGTAAAAATACTCAAACATTCTTTGCTCTTTTCTGTGTTGATATAAGTGCTGTTAGCAGAAAGCAATGGAAGGTAAGTTCTGGGCACCTTTGCATGAATTAAGGCAATGGCCCTGAACTATATTCACTGTCACAGAATTCTTCGCTGCCATATAGTTATACTTACAAACAACAAACAGTATTACTTAATAATGTCCTAGCTGCATTAGGAAAAGTGGCTAATGTTATTAAATCTAGGCAACTCAACCAGAGCCCTTTTAGTACCAGTCTAATCAAATGGGAAACACACACAAGGCTAGGCTTCCCTGAGATGACAGAAAATGCCTATATGAACTTGCAAGCTGATCTTACTGCTTTTTTTCAGAGTACAATTTTTACTTGAAAAAACAATGGACAAATGGCAGACATTTTTCTGAAAAGTGAAAAAAGTAAACCTAGCACTTAAAGGAAAACTAAAAGTATCTGTTGCCAGTGATCCAAAATTTTAAATCCAAACTTTAAAACTATCATTCAACACTTTCTCTGAATCAGGAACTTCAGTTTCATCGGGTCTTATTTTTGCTTCCTTCTGTATCTCCTCTCATATCTATGTAGAGCCAGATATACTTCAATCAGATGAGATTGGGCGTGTTCAGGGTGGTGTGGCTGTAGACATATACTTTAATCAAAATAATGTATTGTATCACATTGAATGCACAAATAGATATAAAGCTCCAGCTGTCTTTTATTAAGCCTTATATTAAAGGTACGTGAAAAAATGTAAACCAATGAAAAATATCGTCTCCATAAATACGTTATTTCCCCTGGCCATTGGTAATGTGCAATGAATTTTTTTCTAGTTTTTAAGTGAATTAATAAATTTATATATTTTTATGTTTTAGTATTGTAAATATTCATAGACATACTGTGGAGCCCTTAATTATTTTTAGGAGTATAAAGGAGTCCTGATAACACAATGCTGTTAGCACCTCTAGTTTAGGTTGATTCTGGTAGTTCACACTCAGAAGCTCCATGCACTTACAGTAACATGGACCTCTTTTACTTTAAGAAGGAAATGATTAGCTTAAAAAGAACCTAGAAAATTCAAGCAAGACTTTCCAAGCAGGATGGAAAAATGGTACTGCTTTCCCTGGCAAAAACAAAAGACAGGCAAGGAGGGAACACAATTAATTTTTCAAGGCATTTCTTCCTGGATGGTTTTGCATTCCTGTTAAATCAGTGTGGGACACACAGGCCTCTGCCAGCATTGTGCAAAGACTCTACATTCCCACCTGTCTCTCATCTGTTAGTTGCTACCACTGAGGTCCCTTCTGTGAGCCCGCTTTCTTTTTCCAGTGTGTACTGTAGAACTTAGCATGGCACTGACCTGCAAGTCTCTCTGAGAACTTCAGGGGCATACATGATATTTCATACATCTTCTTGGCTCCTTATCAGCTCTTAATATAATTCTAGGCACCAGCACATACTCTATATAAGTTTGCCAGCTTACTGGTCAAGATGAAGAGAGGACAAAAACACTTCACTTATACAATGTTTCTCTACATGCTGCCATTTTCTTTTCTGAATGCCAGTTTTGTAAGAGCATACACAGACCTAAGCTTCAGAGCCAGAGGCTCTGCTCTTCTATGAGCTCTACCACTTCCCAGCTTTGTCACTTTGGAGGATATTACACAACTCCTTTGAGAACAGTTTTGTGCACAATGAGTTGCTAGACTTTGTTTAACATAGAGGGCATTCAACAGACATTGGGTTCTGTATTGGTCAGTTTTTTGTTGCTGAAACAAAATATCTGATCTATACAATTTAAAAGAGAAAAGGTTCATCTTGGCTCACGGTTTCAGAGGTCCATAATTTGTTGCCCTGAAGGCAGAAACATCAGGGCAGAAGTACATGGTGGAAGACAGCTATTTACCTCATGACAATTGGGAAACAGAGAGGATAAGAGTCAGAAAACATATCCTTTGAAGGCATGCCCTGAGCCCCCTATGTCCTCCATTTAAACCCACCTCATACCAGCCCATTCCACTATGAGCTGTTGAGTGTTTAGGTCCATCGATGAGGTTAGTGCCCTCATGACTGAATCACTTTCCCGAAGTCCATCAGCTCTAAACAAATGAGAATTTTAGGGGATGTTTTAGATCCAAGGCATAGCAGCTCCCTTACCTGGTTTTCCCCCTTTTGCTGTAGGATGCTTAGAGATAATTATCAAGCATGTATGAACCACAAAGCATAACTCAAAGCATTCATTAATTACTGAGAAGTTAATTGTGTTTAATCCAGTCCCTTTTCCTCTGTGCTTAGTATGCTTTGGATTGACTGTAAACCTTATTCAACCAAAATACATGTGCTGTAAAATTCTTCATCACTAAATTGTGACAATTTCCCATCTGTTTATTTAGTCATTAAGTTAAATATATTTAACCCAATTATTTTCTCTATATTTTCCTACAATTCTTTTTATTTATGTTCCTTGAGTTGAAAATCATCTATTCTCCTCCTTTCCCACTTGGTCCTTTGTTCCTCTCAGCCTTATTTTTTTCCTTTCCTTTTTTTTTTTCTTTACAATCGTGGATGTGTTAGGATAGGTGGTTTCTCTAGCAAAAGATAAGTGGTCTGTATAGGTCAGGAAATCTAAATTACTTCGGATTTTCCTGTGGTCCATAGTGTTCTTTTATGTTCCATAGAAACTCATAACTGAGACCAAATCTCCAAGAATTAATTGAGGCCTCAGTGATAGATGCTTGCCTATTATGTGTGAGGCCCTAGGTTCCATCCCAAGCATTGATAAACCAAAATAAACAAATAAAAAAATAGAATTAATGGAAAAGGTTTATGAAGGGAATGATGTGTATAATGTGAAACTATAGCAGAGGTCACATTTAGTCTTTCACTCTCTCTTAGTACCAGGGATTGAACTCAGAGTCTCATACATGTGCTGGGAAAGCACTACACCCCCAGCCCAAATGATTCATCTTTAACTGAGAAGATAAAAGCCTTATTAGTGAGGATGAAGATGAAGAAATTTCCAAGAGTGGCCAAGGACAATTCATATTAGAATAACTCAGTGTCTTTAAAAACACATCCTTTGTTCCTTTACCCAGGGATTCTGATTTAGGAATTTTAAGTAGAGTTCTGTGATAATTCTTCTGCACACTTCTGAAGAACCAGAGGATATTTAGTCTTGACACGTCCACATTCTCAGAGAGTATATCAGGCATAAAGCCCTTTCACACTGATTTTATTGTTTTGTTTGTGAAATAGATAGGTGCAGAAACTTTTATCCAGAAAGTTGCCGAAAATTTCAGTCTTCCTGACCAAGGTAGAGCCAGACATCAGCTATGGGTTATGGCCAAGCCTGGCTTCTAGGGAGGCTGGTAACCAATGAAAGAAGACATTCTTGACAGTGGAGTTCATTTCTGATTTCTGAAAATGAGGTCTGTGTGAGCAGGCTCCCATTGACTGAGGGCTGATGGGTGAGCGTGGGCTTGAGAAGGCAAAGGGCTCCCTCCAGTGAGGAAGAGAAAGGACAAAGAAGGCGGTGTTTGAGCTGTCTGTGTTGAACACTGACCCCTTCCAAGTTAGATATTGTACATGTTTTACACATTAATAAAACAAAATGAACAAATAAAAAAATAGAATTAATTGAAAAGGTTCATGAAGGGAATGGCATGTATAATGTGAAATTGGAGCAAAGGTCACATTTCCTTAGCTGAAAAGATTTAGTTTTTCTCTCAGAGAACTGTCAATAAAGAGCTAAGCATTGCTTCTAAGTCTAAGCCAGACCCAAAGCACCTGCATCCTGAAAATGCTTATTGACAATTTCTTTCTCTTTTGAGGGGGTGGGTACTGGGAATTGAACTCAGGACCTTGCACTTGCCAGGCAGGTACTGTGCCGCTGAACTATACTCCAGCCCCAACATTTTCAGTATGCATGGATGGATGATGCATAATGAGAATGCAATTTACACCACACATGTAACAGACTTCTATTGGGAAGGCAGAGCTTTGGAGAGGGCCCTACCATAGCCTGCAGTGAAGTACGGCAGGCTCCCAGCTCCAGCTGGCTCCAGTCAATAAAGGACAGAGAGCCGCAGAAGCACAGCTCCTGGAGCAGGGAGAGCAGGCTCAGTCTGATCCAGAATTTTGTTCCTTCCTTGCTGGACCAAAGCCAAACACCTGGCTTTGACATGTGGACCTGGGTTTCCAGCCAATGGGGCCCATGGTTGTGATTTAGATCTGTTAGTCACCTTAAATTAAGGAAGGAATGGTACCATCCCTCATACACCTAATCCTGTTAGGGTATTATCTTTACAACCTCCTGGCTAGAAACAAATCTTATTAGCCTGGTCTTAAAAAGAGCTATTATTGACACTGTCACACCGCATGAGCTAGAATACCTTAGTCATTTGTGTATAATGTTTTACCCCAGAAAAATAATGTTCTTTCAAATTCCTATAACATAAAAAATAACTTTAAAGGAGAGAAGAAACTAGAATATAAAATATCTTTTCTGCTTACCTAAGTAAATCTTAGTCTTTTAAAATTGAGGTGAGATTGTGGAAAGCTGGGCTTTTCAGGATCTTAGCACCAGCAGCAGCCAGAGCCCAGTTGCCAGTTGTCCCTAGCCACACGCCCCTTCTGCTGGAGACCACTACAAAGTGGCTCTGAGCAGGATTTAATATTAACCAATTAGCTTTCCATGTTTACTTGGGAGTTGTCCGAAGCTTAGGCACCTTGTCTGAAGATGGGCAGCAGACTCATAGTAAATGAACCTCTATGAGTCACTGGCCACAGCTGAGGACATCTGGTTCCAACTTCAATTAACTAAAAGGAGACTATAGCTACAGTCTCCACACTCCTACAATAAATACCAACCTAAAGCTAAAGTAGTTCTGCTTGACATAATTTACTAGAATTCTCCCAAGGTCTTGCTCAGATTCCCATGTTTTCTTGAGTATTCCCCTCCTTTGTTTGCAAATCAAATAAATACAGGCTGCCACCCAGAGAAGTCTTGGCCTTAATGCAGAGAATCTCGAATTCTGTAAGAGAGTTAGATTCTCTTGGAGCCCTGAAATCATTTCACTGTTCTCTTCTATTTAAACCTTCACTGTCCACTTGTTTGGGAGATTGGGGGCCTGATCAGCCCATAATAACTAAGGGTTATTAACCCCGATACCTTCCTAGGGACACAACAGATTTGAACATGCAGTAAAATGAATGCCATCTTCTCAAGAGCCACACTGTGAAAAACGTTGTTATTATGAACAAACTCACCTATGTGTTCTCTTCATCCTAGCTGTAGCAGAAGTGATGCTGCTATTTACCAGATCTCTGCTAGAAGCTGCCGGGGCATGATTTGCTGCTCTGCCTCCCTTGAGGTTGAGAGCCCATCAGAAAACCCGCAACTATCTCCTAACCTGGGAGATGGCAGGGACACAGGTTGGAAACCTGGAACAGAGACCTATGAGAAGGAATGCACAAGTCAAATCCACGAGAAGGAATACCCCCATGAAGAAGACAGTGTGTCCTTGGCCGCTCCATCATCTGATTCCTCCCCACCCAAATTCAACTGCTTGTCCTCATCCCAGTTATTGGCCAATAATGACATTACTGAATCCAGTTCTGAAAATCCTGTGGGTGAAGAAACAAGGCCAACTGCAGAGGTTTATGATCCAAATAACACAGAAGAAATTTTCCTTAATTCAAATAATATTACCCCAAACCACCACCGGACAGTACCTCCTCCAGCCTCGCAGTTAATGGATGATAGCCTAAATAACGATGGCCCTAATGATGAAGTCTTAACCTCTAGTCATCAAAAGCCAAAGGCTCAGAAATACATTAGCTTCAGCTTTCCGCTGTCAGAGGCAACTGCATGCGTTTACCCAGGTGAGAGCGCTTTGGTCAACAAGCAGCCCAGCCCCCAGGCTTCCAGCGAGGACTCTGACAGTGATTATGAACTTTGTCCAGAGATAGCCCTAACTTACACCGAGGAGTTTTCAGATGATGACCTGGAGTATCTGGAATGTTCCGATGTTATGACAGATTACTCTAATGCAGTTTGGCAAAGGAGCCTGCGAGGGACTGAGCGTGTTTTTTTATTAGAAAGAGATGACGAAGAGATGGAATTCAGTGAGTGTATCCTGGGTGGGTGTGAGCATTTCCTCAGTGAAATGGGTTGTGGGCCTTGGGTGTCGGGTGACATGGGGCCTATGGATGCCACCACTGGCTTCTGTGCTTATCACTCACAATCCGAAGAAGTGGGGGTCAGGAGCAGCGGTGCGTCCAGACACACTCCATCGTCCCTGAGGACAGGGGTGACTCTTACTCTCGGACCTCATCAGGATGGAACAGCTACAGTGACCAGACAAGAGAGCTGTCCAGTCCCCACTGCTTCTGAGGCTGCTGAGAATGATTGTCCAGGAATTCAAGAAGAAACCAGAGACAGCCACCAAGCAGGAGAGGAATTTGCCAGTGACAATCTGCTAACCATGGATAAAGCAGCAACAGAGCTGGAGATGAAGCCTTTGTTTGGGGGGTCAGAAAGATCAGGGATGAAGCAGAGTTTGAAGACCATGGTGGAAGAAAGAGCAGAGGAAAAGAACCTAAGCAGCCCAAGAAGCAGCCAGAAATCTGCCAGGGTGTGGCGACCCCGAGTGAAGGGAAAAGCCAAGAAGCTGACCCTGACAGACAGTGCAGCAGAAAGCACCCGGAGTCCTCCTCCCAAGGGACCCGCTCGGGCTCCACTAATGCAGAGCAATCAAGAAGAGATTTCTCACGCCACAGCAGGCATTCCTGGCCTGAATTCCCACTTCCCTGAAGGAGAAAGTGCTGTTTTCCTTCCTGCAGAGCAAGACACAAAAATCTTACAACCTTCAGCTGGCTCATTACCCGAGGAAGGGGACACAGGCTTCCAGGGGGAAGGGCTGAGGGTTAGTAATCTACTTGAAACAAGCCAGGCTCCAGACCAGAGTGATCATCCTCAGGTAAGGCCCGTTTTTAAAACTTACAAGAGAAAAAGTGCCTCTGTGTGTGTGTGTGTGTGTGTGTGGGCTTCCCTTCACTTCACCACTGGGATTCCTGCACCAAAATGTAAATCAAAATAAGCCTCCCAATACCATCAAGGTACTTGTAAATGACAGCGGCTGCTGCTAGGAAGGAAATCTGGTTTTGAAAAAAGACCCAGATAAACCCTAAGCCATCCTAATTATAGCAAAACACTGATAGAAGTGAGAGGCACTAATGGGACTCCGGACAGCTGGAAAAAGAAATCTGATCTTTTGTCTACTACATGTGTTTTACTAGGCAATGTTCACTATTCAGAAAGTTTCTCAAGCAAATGTTTTGAGTGTAGCCTTTAAAGGGAAAAATAAAACCATTCTTTTTGGTCATTTTGGGGTGCCCTTTGAAAACGGCAGGTTTGGATTTTAATCAAAACTCGTAGTATAAATGAAAGGATGTCAGTGTGTCTGAAGGGCTTATAGGATTCACTTTGTAATTCTGGAGAAAATAAAGTCAATTTAGCTGCGACGGTGGGATATTTTTGATTGGATATTAGCTTTATTTTGCTTATCTTAGACCACAAAATACAAGGAAGCCAAGAAAATATTGGAAGAAAATTTATTCTCCCTTAATATGGGAGTAATTTTAAATAGATGGAATTATATTAATAGGAATAATTAATGCATAAAGAATATTGCACTTAACATATCACTTACATTTTTAATTCTATTTTTATATCAAAATGTTCCAAGTGGGCTTTGCACTGATGCTGAACATAAACAAGATCTTCACTTTTGTAAAACATGTGTCTTTTAAAAGTTATGTATCAATTATTTTTACTTTACTTCATGTTCTCCTGTTTTGCAAAGTTGTAGTAGGAGTTTTGTTTTATTTTTATAGAAGACTGGTGAGTCCAAAGAAAACCAAACATTCCCCAATACAATTTACTCAACTTTATCTTTAAAATAACAAAAAATTAATGCACTGATTTCTAAAGAACTTGTTATGAAATAACTCATCTAAAAATCTCCAGATCCTAGGAAGCTTTTGATTGAGATGTGTTCTTCTGGTCAAATTACCCAGATAATATCACAATTGTATATTTTACTTTTCGCAGGCAAGCCTGTTTGATGCTATTTAGTTCTTTAAACATGCTACTTAGAAGCTCATACATGGGTGACCATAGATTCACACCCAAGATAAATTTATGGAGGAGGTTTGGCCAAATATTCAAATGTATAAAATAAGCATTTCTTTTCTATTCATAAAATTCTTTTCCTTGTTAAGTGCCTTTTTACAGCTATTTATCCACTGAGAGTGTTTCATTGGACAAATTGCTTTTATTATTAAAGGTTGGGGGTGAGAAAAAGTGACCTAAAAGTAGTAAGTGGAGGGAAAGTGGCTATTGACAATGTCAGTTTTGGACTCACTACTGTGGGAGACAATTTCTAACTCCTTCAATACTCAAAACTTTAAGGAGCAGAAGGGAGGAATCCTGTTATCCTCCTTGGTTTATGCCCAAACTGAATTCTGAGGTCAAAAGCCCCTGTGACCAGCAGGGTCACTCACTTACTAGCAATGCAGCTAAATAAAATGGGCCATCTCTACTAAGGTCGTCTAATGTGTGCAATCTCTGGACACTCTAGTGGGACACTTTTGCTTACCCATTCTTTCATATACATTCATGAATACATACCCACCTACCTTGACCTTTGCTTTGTAGTATGACTAGGGCTCAGAACTGTGACACATCTCAGAACTGTACACTATTCAGAAAGCTAAATAATAGCTTGTGTTTTTTGCAAGGAATAGGACTATGTCTTTCCCTGCAATGGTCAGTAGTACAGCTGACCTCTCACTCAAGGGACAGCAGAAATTTGAATGGGAGCTGGACACTCTGAACAGCAACCTTAAGCTAAAAATAGGACTTTTGTACAAACTGTGGCATTTATTTTTCTGGACTAAAGCAGGAGAATTTTGCCACAGTGCCTGGTATCTTTAAAAATGTAGATTCTTTTACCCATATAAAATGTTACTATTTAATTGTAGGAGACATCAGGAAAATGAGCTCAAAACTGAGGTGAAGTCACTATAAAATATGGCCAAAGTGATAGCAAATGGCTAGTTATTGCTGCAAATGTGATATAGAAGTGTGGGGGTCATTGGGAGCTTAGTGCAATTTTTCATAATACTGTCGAGAAAAAAAAATACTAGTGAATTGTTCCATAACTAAATCCAAAGACATTTTAAATATTTATTCTCAGATCTTTGAGGCCGTGGACACCTAAAAAATTTAAATGGTTAAAAATCCTGAATTAGGGTTAATATTAATAAACTTGCCCACTCTTGAGTCTTGCCTGATTCACTTACCTTGAGCTGTCTTTCTGCAGAAATAGTGATCAGCAGCTTATCTTTTAGTACATCTTCATCGCATATTGGTTTTAACATCCTGAGAAAAATACCAGTACCTCTAATTTTCTGATCTATAAGCAGAGTCTCTTGCAAAAATTTTCCTACCTAAAAATATGTCTCCAGGTGTATTTACTTCTTGCCTTCCTCTCTCTCTTTTTACAATGCAAGGCCATCTTGTTATGGTTTGTCTTGAAGCAGTACTTACCCAGGCTAGAGTTGGAAAGCCCCCAGTTTCCCTACATTTATGGAAGATTCCAAAGTTAATTCCTGTTTGGGAGTGGAAAATACAGGGTACCCCAGGCTAACGTGAATCCTTTCCAAGGGTCACACTGCCAACTCTTCCCCTTGGTTTTGAGTTCGCTTTCCTGACTCAACTCAGAGGCAAGGCCTGCCAATCTGCTCATCTTAAGTTTCTTTCTGTAGCCGCCCTGGGGTAAGATCATCCTCACTCTTGAATCAGAAGTGCTCTGTGTGTCCTTCTGTAGAGATGCCCAGCTTCATCTTAGAGAGATTTGCATTTCTGTTGGGGGCCCTGAGATTGCAAGTGTACAGTACGGAAATGGGTTCTCTGGTTCTGGGAGCTGTGAGTTTCTGATCAGGAATAAGTACTAAGCAAACAAGTGAACTCCATATGGAAGGAAATGTGTTCAGTGTATTCTGTCACTGATAAATCCCAATTTCCTGCAATAGTGCCTGCCACATAATAGGCACCTAATCATTGAATAAATAAGTATCCGTATAATACAAGATTGAATGCTTAGTCGGGTATCATTCCAGGGATCATTTCTTTCAGTCACTTGACAGTCCTTGTTCTCCTGAACACATTCTTTGGTTGCCTTCACATTCAAGAACTGCTGCCAGCTCCCCACTAATGGCAGGCACTTCCCTGGGCTCTTTTGGCCCTGGGAATTATTACAGAAACCACCCATGCCTTGTATTTGGGTTCCTGGTGAATGCTGGTGATTCACCTACAGCCTTGGCTTTCTTTCCTGAAGCTGGCTTCTGTTGGTTTTATACCTGTTTTTAATTGAAGTTTTTATTAAGACAAATTCACATTCACATGTAGTTGTAAGAAATAATTCAGAGATAGCTGTACACTTTGTACAGGTTCCCTTAATGATAACATTTTGAAAAATTACTATAGAATATCACAGCCAGGATGAAGACTTTGATACAATTTACTGATCTTACTCAGATTTCCCCAGTTTTACTTGTATATGTGTGTGTGTGTGTGTGTGTGTACTTATTAAGATCTTTAGATATTGGTATTGGGGGATAGCTCTGTGGTAGAGTATATAGGGTATTGGGTTCAATCCTCAGCACTAAAACAATATATAGATATTTATCACTGTGTGGGTTCCTATATCTATCACAAGAGCCAAGATATTGAACAGAGAGATAGAGAAGTCTTTAGTCAGCCCTACATTCTAAAAATTTTTTTTTCTATCAGTCTCACAGCTTTAAATCTATTATTCATTTTGATTTAATTTTTGTTGAAAGCATAAGGTTTATACTGAGGTTCACTTTTTGCCTATGGATGGTCCATTTTCCAATACTATTTATTGACAATGCTTTCTACCTAGTTTTGCTTTTTTAAAAAATTAATATTATTGGTACATTTTCGATAAATGTAAAGATCACATTCATCATAAGGAATTTGTACCTGTATGTAAATGCCTTGGTACTTCTTTTTCCCCCATTCCTCTCCCCTCCCTTCAACCTTTCTTTTCCTCCTCATTTACAAAAGTGTTGTTTCCATTTTTTTCTGTCCCTTCTCTTTTTTTCTTTTCCCTTCCTTCCCTTTCTTGTCCCTCTTCCTTGTTCTCCTTCCCACTTGAACATTTTATCCTTGCTTCCCAATATCTATCATCCATTTTGGTCCTTATTTACACTTTCAATTTCTCATACAAGAGAATCAATGCCATATTTAAGCATGTGTCTGATTTATTTCACTTTGAAGTACGGTCTCAACGTACATCCATTTGCCTAAAAATGTCTCAAGTTTATCCTTCTTTATGGCAGAGTAGTATTCCATTACATATAAAAAACCACATTTTCTTTACCCATTCATCCATTGATGGGCATGTGGACTGTTTCTAAGATTTAGCTATTACAAAGTGTGCTGCTATAAATGTGAGTGTGCATATAGCACTGTAGTATGATGCTTTTAACTCTTTCAGGAAGATACCAAGAAGGGGAATAGATGGATCAAATGGAGCCTCTCGTTTTAGTTTTTTGAGGAATCTCCATACTGATTTCCATATTGGTTGTACAAATTCACACTCCCACCAACAGTAGAGAAGACTTCTTTTTTCTCACAGCCCTGACATCATTTGTTATTGCTTGATTTCTTGGTAGTAGCCATTCTTTCTGGAGTGAGATAGAATCTTAGTATTGTTTTAATTTGTATCTCTTGAATGACCAGTGATGTTGAAAATTTTTCATATATTTATTTGCTGTTTCTATTTCTTCATCTGAGAAGTGTCTATTCATTTCAGGTGCCTGTTTTTGGACTGGGTCTTTAAATATGGGGGGGTCTGATTTTTTTTTTTTATTTCTTTATATATTCTAG